AGACAACACATCAGACAGACCCATTCTACAGATAGAGAAATGTTAATAGAATAGACATCCATGATCTGTTCTAGGTTGTGTCCCTCTCTTCTTGTCCCTTTTCTTCTTGTTTTCCTCTCTATGTTTTGTACTCAGCTGACTTTTCATGCTGTCTCTAAAGGAATGATGATGTCAATGTTCTCTGTATCTGTGGTGTCTATTGGTGCTATAGAATGTTATCCTCTTATTTATAAGTTTGTATTACGTTTAGTTTATTTCTATTTTGCTAATTATGTCATCTCAGATCACTTTATAGAGACAATTCAACCAGATCATCCAGTCAGATTGATTCAAAGTTTTCTATCTAAGGAAAACCAGCTGATTGCATCGACTCATTGACTCTTCAGCAATCCCTCACACTAAGCATGCTTGTAGCGACAGTGGAGAGGAAAAACTCCATTTGAACAGGAAGAAACCTCCAGCAGAACCAGGCTCAGTGTGAGCGGCCATCTGCTGAGGCCCACTGGGGTTCAAGGAAACATAGAAAAAGAAGCATAGATACAAAAGGCAACTATTAAAGGTGGCCTCATCAATGAAACAAACAGCCAGCCATTGAACTAACAGATTCTGCAGAGTGGGAGAATAGAGATAGAATGAAGCAGAATGATGAAAAAGGGGTCCCTATGTCCTCCAGCAGTCTAAGCCTATAGCAGCAGAACTATAGAGATAGCTCAGGATAACTGAGCCACTCTAACTAGAAGCTTTATCAAAAAGGAAAGTTTTAAGCCTAGCCTTAAAAGTAGACAGGGTGTCTGCCTCACGGACTAAAACTGGTAGTTGGTTCCACAGGAGAGGAGCCTGATAACTAAAAGATCTGCCTCCCATTCTACTTTTAGAAATTCTAGGAACCACTAGTAAACCTGCAGATTGAGAGCGAAGTGCTCTGTTAGGAACATAAGGAACAATCAGATCTCTGATATCAGATGGAGCTTGGCCATTTAAGGATTTATATGTGAGAAGGAGGATTTTAAATTCTATTCTGGATTTAACAGGAAGCCAATGAAGAGAAGCCAAGATAGGAGAGATAAGATCTCTCTTTTTCATTTTAATCAGAACTCTGGCTGCAGCATTTTGGATCAGCTGAAGGCTTTTGACTACAGTTTGTGGACTTCCTGATAGTAAAGAATTACAATAGTCCAGCCTTGAAGAAACAAATGCATTTTTCCTTTAGTCATCCATCGATTTACCAATAAACATGAACTCTTTCTGTTGAAATTTCAGTTCTTACATTCACAAAAACCTGTGAGTAAAGATAGCAGACAAATAAAATCGCAGTTTAACATAACTTATTAATGCAAAAAACTATTATTGATCAACATATATGTTGATGCATGACACTTCAGTGTCGTTTAGTCAGTGGAGTTTATGTCATGTGTTCAACTGACTCCTTTTTTTGTCAAACATGCATGAATTTCTATTTTTCTAATGTTTCCATCACAAAATTCTCTCCAGAAGCTGTCGTCCTCAATCTCCAGTGGTTGTTTCTCTGTAAGCTGTTTTATGTCAGAGCCTCGGGGTTAACGCTAAAAGGTCACATTGGTTTGGAATCACAGAAAACATGCAGGTCACAGCAAAACTGTTTTAAATTCTGTGTGAAAAACAGAAAAGTGCCCTAGAAGGAAAATCAGACCCGGGATGAAAAATTCAACAGGCATAAGAAATGGTTCTTGCAGATGTAGATCCCTCTGGCTGTCTTCATTGCACCTCTGCAGCAGCCGACTCCCACCATGCTCTGCTCCATTACAGGCTTCACTGAGAATACAAATGTGCCCCTAATAGATGACGGGTGTAAGCTAAACACTGAATGTGGGCTTCATTCACTTCTACCTATATTTCAATCATAACATTAGGTTAATATATGAGAAAAAGGCAGTCAATAAAGAGATGAGTGGGATAAGGGATGGGATTAATCATGCCTTATCTGTCTGGGTGTGCTGCCATCTTCCCCTCTTCATCTACCGATTCTTTTTTTCATTGACTTAATTCACTTTGCAGAGCTTTAATGGCTCTCTAAGTGACAGCAAATGTCTTAAGTGATCCTCTCTGTGCTTCTGAGGAAGGAGGAGGTGTCTTTGGTTCAAAATTCTCCAAACGTAAAGGAAAAATGGATTTAAAGGATTACAGCCCTCTACAAAGAGGCTGCTTTCTGAATACTGGCGGGCTGATTAAAAAGAGGTTTTCTTCTTTCCTTTGGTGCCCTGAGTTAGATTTCACCTAGAATCATCGACCACAAGGCCAACCAAAGGACAGAACGAGAAAAAATGACGTGATAATCACTGAATAATTCCACAAAATAATTATTTTCTTTTTGGCTTTAAAAATAAACATGTCCCACTAATCCACCAATAACATTAAAGGAATAGTACACCCAAAACATGATTAGCCTTCATTTTCTACTCACCCCCATGCTGAACAACACTCTGGAGTACTTTTTTGATATCTCAAATGCATCTGGAGATCTGGGAGGCTTCTTGCTGTCTGCTGACATTCAAATAATGGAGGTCTATGGCGCCCGAGGCAGAAAGGTCCATAAAAGTCCACAAAAAACGTGTCAATATTCCTCCATACTGCTCGTCCAATGTATTCCAAGTGTCCTGAGTGGGTAGCGTCCAGAATTTACTCGAAACGAAGTCATTTAGAATGTTGTTAGAGCATAAACAGTAGTGTATAGGATTTCCTAAAAGCGCGTTCACGAGTCTACGGAAACCGCGGCAGACCAAACCAGATGAAAGTGCGCATTCAGCGTCTGCTCTGCCGATAATGCAAGCGTAGAAGAAGAAATGTGCTGTTTACCTGTGCAAAGAAAGAAACAACGAAAGAAAAATGTCTGAGGACTTCAGTGTTGAGGAAGAGCATGAGTTCTTTGCCGAGCTGAATGTGCACTTTCATCTGGTTTGGTCTGCCGCGGTTTCCGTAGACTCATGAACGCGCTTTCAGGAAATCCTATACACTACTGTTTATGCTCTAAAAACATTCTAAAGGACTTCGTTCGGATGCTCAATTCCCTCCCTGCCCTGCCCGCCTTCGCCCCCCCCTGACCCCCCAATACCCCCGTCCCCCACTACTTCCCCCATTATTCACTATTTGCATCATTTGCACCACTGTTTGCACTGCAGACATCATGACTGCTACTCAGCTCATGCTACCATCTGCATTATTTGCACTATAGCCACTGTACTGTGCAGTAATAATAATTGCTGTACATGTTACAGTTGCATCGTTTACATTGACTATTTGCAATATCCATCAGGACCACTGTAATGTTACTTTGTAAAAATTTACCGTTACACTTCCCATCTGTATATTTGTAATCTGCTTTAGTATTTAAACTAGTTTGTTGTTAGATTTTTAGTTATCCGAGCAGATACCTTTATTTATTTCTATATCTTAGGTTTTTATTTCCATTTACTTATTTTTTTTTATGCTATGGTTCATTGTATTTTATTATGCACCGTGGGGTTGAGAGGACTGCAATTTCATCTGTGTTGTATGTTTACCATGTAGCACATTTGACAAAATGTTGAGTTGTCTTTAGCCTAACTGCTTTTGTTTTCTGGAATTTATCGTCAAATAAAGCTTAGTATCATTAGCATAGCAGCAGAAGTTAATCCCATAATGTTCTGACCCCACGACTGATCCCTCTAGATCAGAGGTCACATATTAGCGGACCGGTTCCGGACCCACCTGCTGGTTAATCCAGACCCAACCTGATTTAAATCATTTATAAATTATCACATCTTGTCCGACAGTGTCTAACTTCACTTGCGCCTCTTCTCCAGTTAATACGGTAAAGCCCTGGGGAGCGTCCGGCTCCAGGCTGCACGTGATCCAAATGAGCCAATGAGCTGTCAGTCTGGGTTGCTGCTGCTGCTACTTTTAGACACAGCAGGCAAACCTGTGGCAAGCCGGGCGATGGGAAAGAAGGAGAAGACCATGAGAAAAAGAGAGCAGAGAAAGTGTGGACTGCTGGAAGAACTGCGGTGAACTGGTGAAAGAAAAGTGAAATGGCGTGCTCAAAGATGACCCTGCACATTTAGAGGATGTTTGGCTCAACCTGCTGCTGTGAAGCAGGATTCTCCACCATGAACAGAATCAACAATAAATCTGGATCCAGGCTCAAAATGAGCTCCTTGATATGTGCTTGAGAATGGCTTAGTCTCCGGTTAAACCCAGGTTTAAAGCCTTGCAGGGCAGCCTAAAGCCCACTGCCAACATTAAGACAGAAAAAAGAAAGAAAAAACAGTCAGTTCAGGTGTTCTATAAAGAAAAAATCAGTCAGGGAATTGTCTGCATACCAAACTGAAAGATTGTTGTTCTCTACTTCAAAAACAGTTTAGATTTTAAAATGGAAAAATTTTCTATTTTTTTATATTTTATATTTAAAAATTCAATGATTAACATGGATACATAAATACCTCATTTTATTTCACTGTTAAATTCTGTTTAAAGTTGCGCATTACAATTAAAAACATCTCCGGACCTTTACTGGTTGTTGATTTTTAATTGGTTACTTCGCTTTAGAACCTCATTGAAATTCATCAAATAGGTCTAAATCATTGCATACAGTCAATGCTGATGATGATAATGAATTATTTTCTAAACATTTCAATAATTCTTTTTTTAATCAATCTAAGCAAAACTGGTGAAGTTAAAATATATATATTTGTATGGATTGACGAAGAAATATGCTGCACTCTCTGACCAATGGCAGATATTTTGACACAGACCGTTAACTAACAAAGCAGGAAGTATAATCTATTATTTAATTAAAGCCATTTGTTAGAAAAGCCACTTTTACAGAAACATTTAGATTGGTTTTATTAGTGTTTGATCAAACATTTGGTGGATATTCTGAACAGGATATTCAAACAGCCTGGTTCCAGCTGGGAGCATAGATATACTTTTATAGAAGGCCCTTCTGAATGCAGATCTCTCTCTTCCTCTCCTCATAATTTGTGCAGTTGGACCCATCGGCCCTCCACCAGGCCAGGAGAGACCAGGTGATGGATGCTTGCAGGGTTAACAGTGCTTCCAGTCGTAAGCGGAGGGTCCTGACACCCGGAGACCTCAGAAACCTCGTGGTGGACGACGACCATGAGCTCATCTACTGCTACGTCCCCAAGGTGGCCTGCACCAACTGGAAACGCGTCATGATGGTGCTCACCGGCAGGGGCAAATACAGGTGGGAGGCAGATTTTAACTGGACCAGATGGCATTTCATTATTCACACAATGTTTAATCAACTTTTTTAGTCGAATCAAGTTTTGATTTTAAAGAAGTCAATCTTGATGTTGTGACATTTAAAGGGGAACGCCATTTTTTTACATTGGGCCCTTGATTTTCCGTTATTCCATCATGTTCTACTCACCCATATGAGTTTAGTGTCATTTGGAGCCGTTCTGAAGATATTCCGTTAGGTTATATCCAGTAACGTCTTCCTATGGGCAACGACTTGAAGGCACAAACTAAACTGTTCATCATTTATTCTTTATGGTACGCCAGCATTCAGAACATGGAGGCCAATCACTGTCCTCCAGACATCCGCCGTTATTTTTTTTATATTTATATGTTTATAAAACAAAGCGGCGCGTGTATGACGTCATACGACAAGTTGACTGCCCATAGGAAGACGTTACTTGGATATAACCTAACGGAATATCTTCAGATCGGCTCCAAATGACACAAAACTCATATGGGAGAGTAGAACATGATGGAATGACATAATATCAAGGGCCCAATGGGAAAAAAACGGCGTTCCCCTCTAAGCGTCTCACTGGTGTGATAACATCCCCAAATGGGACCTCTGCTATCCAACAAAGCCCATTCTGAGATTAATTTAAAGCAATAGATAATTTATAATTTTTATTTTTTTATAAACTTGTGACTTTATCCTATTTTAAACTAGGCTATGCTTACAGGATGTGCAGGGATCTGAGTTGCCCAGTAATTGCATCTCCTTGTCCTTGTGCCTTTCCTGCGCAGTGATCCCATGGAAATCCCCGCTAATCAGGCCCACGTTCCTTCCAACCTGAAGACGCTGAATCAGTACAGCATCGCCGAGATCAACCATCGCCTCAAGAACTACTTCAAGTTCCTCTTTGTCCGTGAGCCCTTTGAGAGGCTGGTCTCTGCTTACCGTAACAAGTTCACCCTCAAGTATAATTCCTCCTTCCATAAGCGCTTCGGCACCCGGATCATCAGACGCTACCGTAAGAACGCCACCCAGGAAGCCTTGGTCAACGGCGACGATGTCAAATTCAAGGAATTTGTTGATTACCTGGTGGACCCGGCCACACACCGCGGTCGCCCTCTCAACGAGCACTGGCAGACAGTTTACCAGCTTTGTCATCCGTGTCACATCCACTATGACATGGTGGGCAAGTATGAGACCCTCGAAGAGGATGCCAACCACATATTGGGGCTGGTGGGTGTTGGCGAGTCCCTGCGCTTCCCAAGCTACGCCAAGTCCACCCGTACCACAGACACCATGACTGCTCAGTTCTTCAGCAATATCAGCGCTCAGCAACAGGTCCAACTCTACCAGCTTTACAAAATGGACTTCCTCATGTTCAACTACTCTATTCCCAGCTACCTGAGGCTGGACTGAATGACAACAGAGCTGGTACTCTGACAATGGCTGCCTTGTTTGCAGAAAGCCAACAAAATGGGTGAAGGGAAAATTTGTTGGGAAGAGAACTTGATTTTGAACAAACTGTAATTGTGCTTTGTTGGTGTTGTCTGCAAACGGATATTTAACCAGTCCTGAAGGATTGGAACGACGCATGCTTCTGTGGGCGTTTAGCTGAAGGATGTTCACACCAGGAGCACTGATTTAACAGGAATGTGGGTTAAAAGTAACCCAACACCTACATAAACTGACATTTCTGGGTGAAGCAGGTCTTCAAGAAGAACTTCTCTTCAGAAGATGAACTCAATGGAGGGGATTCTTCTGATTATATTTACGACATCCGAGGCTGCGGCGGATCCTGCAAAGCAAACAGCAGCCTAACACTGACTCGAATGCATTGCGAGAGCTAAGCTCATCCTTTTTTCCCCCCTAATCTTAGAAACTCCGTCAAATTGTAAAGCAGTTCTTGTCCTTTGCTGCACAGTCAGCATGGGGAGTTAATTCCCCTTACCTACCATCCATTACATCAGATTCACGTCAGGAGAAAATTGGCTTATCACATTCTCAAGGGTGCCTTATAAAATACGGCTCCTTCTTTTACAACCATGAACTCACCAGCTGTAACTATAGCCTTCAGTCATGTGTTTTACCAAAGTCAGTTTTACCACCAGATCGGGACGTTGGCTATGCAGAACTCATTTCCACAAGACTTTGAAGAATCCGTCAATTCTCTTCCTGCAGATTGATCCGAACGGCCAAACCCCTGAAACATTTCAAGAAGCTGGATGTAGAAAAGAACAGGAAGCGTGAATCTGATTAGCATCCTAAAAGAAATGAGACGAGGTTTCAGAAGAGTGATAGTCACTGGATGCCACCATGCCCCTCGTAGGGGCCCAGTGGACACAAGCAGGAACACACCCAACAGCCGAGCTACCAGTCAAAGATATATTTAAGTAATCACACCTTTTGCCGTCTTTCTTATATTTTGCTTCTGTTGTCTTATGAAACGTTGCTGCAAGCAGCAGAAATAAAACCGTATTTAATTAACTTTGCTGTCTGGATTAAGAGTGATTTGAAGTGCTTATTGAACCACAGAAATCCTTTCTTTTTCTACAGCTGAGCCTCTGTTGCCCCCCATACAGCAATTTATGAGGTTGTTCTCAGTTGCAGCTGGCTGTGTGCAGTCTTCAGGTCCTTGACGCCACTCAGAGTGGAGTTTCAAGGCTTTGTTTGTGAAGATTAATGGGAACCGCCGTTGAACAGCCTGGAAGATAACAAGCTATAGCAAACCCACAAGGCTATAGTGTACGTTTTTATTACTAACAAGGGAGAGGTTCTGGTGGAGGTTGGATCTAACCAGGTATCTATTATTTTGTTTCAGTCTTTGAAAATGACAAAAATGATCCTGTTACTAGCCTTTTCTTATAAGTAATAGTAATTTGATAAAAGTCAAAAATATTTTGTTGATCTCAAAGGAATATAGAATGTTTTTCTAAGTCATATGTTCTCTTAGATTCTGTTAGATGTTGAGAGCCGTAGGCTCTGTGTCCAGATCTGGAGAAGTCGAGTTGTTCTTGGCTCATTCCAGGGGTCTGCAATCCAAACAGTTCAAAGAGCCAAATTGGACCAAAAATAACTGGGCTAAAACTTGTCACAAGTTTTTAACTTTCAGGAAACTCAGTTTGAGAAATCCTAGCTTTCACACCTTTGGAGTGAGACTCACTCTCTCACTCCTATCAGAAATCTAAGCCTTGGCGTTTTCATTGGGTAGATCAATGGAAAAGAGAGAGGCTGTTGTTCTTATTCAGGTCAGAGGACTTGGTACTACGGTTGGCTTCCATCATCAATCAGGTTGATCACTTTATTTATAGAATACATTTTTAGGATGATGTTTTTATGTGTGGCAGAGGTTCCTAGAAGATATCCTGTAACTTAATGCATCCCAAGATGGTCTTGGGATGCATTAAGTTTGTCTACTAGAAACAGGTGAGCCATGGGGTCTATCCACAACCAGGTCTCAGTTGTACCTCCTTCTAAAGAACCCTGCTAAATATCAATTGGCAATTCTATTTTGCTTTGAAAGTCCACTTTTAGTGAAACCGCTCTTTAATATCTCAGTTTAACTATATAATAAATATTTAGATTTGACCTGTTAGAGAAAAATGACAGTGGATGTTAAGGCTTAAACACATCTATCTGTGTGCCTGTTGTAACCTATAGTATAAAAACAGTGAACCTTTACCTTTTTTTATGTTTTACTCCAAGTCAGATATCTGGCTATGATTGAAACGAGAAGCTACTCTACTGGCCTCATCCACCACAGGTATGATCAATGTATTCCAAGCAAGATTCAATTCAGTTTATTTAAATTGCCACAATACAACGCATGTCAGCTTAAGGCCCTTTCCAGTTCACCAGATCATCCAGTCAGATTGATTCAAAGTTTTCTATCTAAGGAAAACCAGCTGATTGCATCGACTCATTGACTGAAAGGCACAGACAAAGCATGCTTGTAGCGACAATGGAGAGGAAAAACTCCCCTTGAACAGGAAGAAACCTCCAGCAGAACCAGGCTCAGTGTGAGCGGCCATCTGCTGAGGCCCACTGGGGTTCAAGGAGACAGAAGCAGACATAGAAAAAGAAGCATAGATACAAAAGGCAACTGTCAACCAGCTCCACAGGCGGCCCCGTCCAGGAAACACACAGCCAGGCAGACGAGCTCCGAGCCAGCTCCCATGTCAGAGGATGAAGAGAGCACATCCAGTTAGTCACAGTCAGAGAAACAGGACTACACTGGAAAACAGGCCAAGCTCCAACATCTAGAAACAAAGGTGTTGATGGCAGCAGCACAGCTGATATTTCTCTCCAGGATGGAGTCACAGCCAAACAGGAACAGACCAGATGAAGCTACTATGAGAAAAAGCAGAGAGAGCAGAACGTTAGAGATTGAACTAACAGATTCTGCAGAGTGGGAGAATAGAGATAGAATGAAGCAGAATGATGAAAAAGGGGTCCCTATGTCCTCCAGCAGTCTAAGCCTATAGCAGCAGAACTATAGAGATAGCTCAGGATAACCTGAGCCACTCTAACTAGAAGCTTTATCAGAAAGGAAAGTTTTAAGCCTGGCCTTCAGAGAGCACAAAATATAGAAATGCTTCCCTTGCACATCAGCTGTCCTGCTGATTTTTAATACCATGCTGTGTCCTACTCAGCAGTTTAGCAAAGCGTCTGAGGCTCCATTTAGACAGCTTATTTAGCCTCTAACATGGAAAACGAACAATACACAAAGGACCTCTTAGCTTGCAAACAAGCTATAATAAAAAACCCATTTTGCTTCGGTCTGTTTTTTTCCTCTTGTACCTCATGTATTAAAAAAGGAGAAAATAATGAAACTGAAGTGTACGATGTCCAGTTCGTCTGAATGCTCACAGGAAATCATCATCACAGAGCCTTGTCTTTTCACTGGGAGAAAAACAAGTTAGTCGGTTAAAAGAGTTTTTGTTCGTATTTTTAGCTGCACATCCTGCCTGACTCCAGCCCTGTATGCTGCTCCATCGTCTCATAGTGTAGGAGTATTTATAGTCAAAGCAGCAGCTATATTTTTACTTGTTTTTAGCTATGTCTGCAATTAGACTGAGCTAAAGGTTTGCTGTTTGCCAAAAAGAACAGAAGATGTCTTTAACACTGTTTTATTTTTACCCCATTAGAGAAGTATTCTGTATTCCTTTTGGTGCACTATCCTTTTTTTTAATACTTTTGTCTTGATCTATAAAATAAACGGTCAGAAGATGTTGGGAAGTTGGTTTAGAAAACAATATCCAAGCTTTAAAAATGTTAACATTTTCAGCCACCTGAACATGAAAAGAAGTTGAAATGACTGCAAACCTTCATATTGGTCCGGATAAACTGACTGAAGTTTCTGAAAGTTTTGTTTCTGGATTTCTTTTCTCAAATTATTTAAAAATTATCCTCTTTGCTCACAGGATTGATGGAACCAAATTCACCCCATAGATACCACTGGAAAAGAAATGGTCTACTAGAAAATTACCTTCTTTAAGTTGACATTACAGTGAACAGTGTAACTGTCGAAATTAATGTTTAATCCAAGCAATTTGGAAAATAACTAATAATCTCGATCAATAACATCCTGATTGCAATTTGCTTTATTTTATAGTTAGTGATAAACAAGCCAATCTTAACTTAATAAATCAGATACATCCAGCGTTTTTCAGGGATCTGCTTTGTTGAACTACTAACCACTGGTGCTTGGCTGGAGTTCTGTAAAGTCCCTGCCTTCTTGCTAAGCTAGTTACCTCTGCTTTGCTCTTCTACCTTTTTTTTCTGGAGTTTTTCTTTTGGGAACTTGACAAACTGCTTGGTGCAATATCGCATTCAACCACAATCAAAGTCTGTAGGCATAAATTATTGGGAAAGATTTTTGTTTAAACACCGACCGGCCATGACGTAGATGAGCTGAAATGAAATAGAAGTTACCAGCCTGTTCTCAATATGTAAGGACTACAAAGTAAAAGTAAATAAAAAGAAAATGAAAAACAATCCACTGGACTTTGTTTCTACATCTGTAGACGTTTCGCTTCTCATTCAGGAAGCTTTTTCAATTCAAAATGTAGCCCAACAAAGCCTGCTTTTAGTTTAGAAAACATGCAAATTGAAACAGACGAACGGGTCCACCTCACTGGAATGGGGGTTGTTTGGCTTCTTTGTTAGCCTGCAATGAGCTATACCTGTCTATGTCTCTGAAAGGGGGGTCGATAAAGGGCATTGTTGGCCTGGCTGAATAGGCGAGGGATAGGGCTGCGATAATTGAGGGATGGGATTAACTCAATTGCTGCACCTACAATGCAGCAATTAAGTCAATCCATTCTCGCTATCACATTCCAAAAGGGTGGACCCATTCGTCCATTTCAATTTGCATGTATAAAACCTCAAACTGTTTGAAATTTTGATTTGAAAAAGTTTCCTGGATGAGAAGCGAAACGTCTTCAAACTTGGAAACAAAGTGGATTGTTTCTTAACTTTTCTGGAATGACTCTGACCTGGATGACTGAGAATCTTCCCCAGCATATTTAAAAAGATAATCACCCCAATGAATTATAGATAGACAAGATCTCTACATAATTCCATAGTAACCATTGAAGATCCAAACATCAGGTGAGAACATCGGGCAGGACAACTACTGGTCACTGTAGCTTCTGTGGCAAAGTGGCAACAACAAGCTCACTGCTGATAACCTGACTCCGACAGATGGATTTACTCCGCATATCCATCTGGAAACCTTCCCTTGAAGTAATTTTGGGAAGGGGCGAAAATACTGGTTAGCTGATTGGCCTATGTTGGTGATAGACGGGCCAAATAAACCAATCAGATCAACGAAGCATATGACGTACTAACAGAGCGACGACGAAGAGGAGCCAATTGATAGATCAAACTCTTGCTTAAACCAGTCGGGAGAAGAGCAAAAACATCTTTTCCTCTGAGAAAAGCCTCCAGAGCAGTGTTTTGCTCTTCTTTCAGTGAAGAAATACTCTGTAATTGCGATAAAACTTGCTCGATAGCCACGCTAACGCTAGTTTCATCGGCTGAAGCTGCCATGTTCTTTAGACTGAACTGTCGCGCTTCTCGTTGCGTCACACCTCAACCCGCCTCAAAGCCAACGCTGATTGGACGTTCGTTTGGTGAACGGCTCCAAATTTTCCTTAACGGAGAGTCTCCAGACTGATTAGCGAGTGAAACCTTGAAAGCTTGCGAGATCAGGATGGTCTCACGAGGCTACACTGCTGAACAAAAGCCGTAAAAAGTTCATTTAGCTTAGAGGCATGTAGGACACACCAAACATCAATCAGAAGGCTCTTTGGTCAAACGAGACCTAAATTTCTATATTTTTATCCTGGTATTTGGTGCAAAATGAAGAGCTTAACCACCTGAGACCCTGCAAATCTTAGCAGGTATAAACAGTGGATGGACAGAGGCTACAGATACAGTCCTGTGTAGGATGTGTGTGTTTGCAAATAATCTAACAGGCATTA